GGGCTAACGTGAAATCTCTTCCTACCGATATGCCTAATTTCATCTGGATTTATCGTTGTTTTAATCGTCTAGTTATATCAGATGAGTAATCCATAGACTTGCAGGCTGATTTAAGCCGCTTCTAAGTAAACGCCGTGCAATTCTTCAACGAAATGAACATATCCTTCAGAATATTACTTTACATGGACGGGCTGACTTGTGTAGTATTTCTATTTGAAACGGTTTTCAGTATTCTAACTGTTATTTTGGAGATATTTTTCATACATGGTAGGATGAATTTTCTTGTAGTCTTTAATGATGGTTTCTTGTTGGTATTGTGACTCGATTTTAAACACATTTTGATGAAATTGTGAGGGGGATATCCATTCTGTTTGAAAACAGTCAATAGGTAGTTTTCTTCAATTCTCTTCAACACGAGAGTAGTACTACAGCGTGTTTGAACTCTTTTAAACAATGTCTGCATACAGTTTCTTTTGTGAGTAATTGAATTATTGCTAATATAGTTGAGTATTGTATCTTTAAGTGGGCGTTGATTTTCTATATACTTGTGTTTTTAAATTTCCTGTGTTGTTTCTCCTGATTAAGACGTCTAAATTTGGGATATTGTTATCTAATTCTTCTTCTTCTCTTGTGAATTCTGGTGTCTTCAAATATGCTGTTTATTAATTTATGGGTATATTTTGAATCACATTTCTCTTAATTATTACAAATGTATCATCAACGTAACGTACCCAGATTTTCAGTTTAATTATAGGTAGAGATATTAATTCTAATCTTTGCATAACGGCTTCAGCTATTAATCTTGAAATGGGCGATGATCCCATTAGTGTTCCTTTTATTTGTTCATATATTGAGTATTGAATTGGAAGTATGTTGTAAGGCATAATTTTATGAGTAGTCTCCAAGTTGAACTGTGCGTTTTTTTGTTTTTTAATCACTGTAGAGTGATTGTCGCATAGTTTCTGTTGCTAGTTTTGGACTAATTGGAGTATGTAATACTGTGACATCATCAAAGAATACCATTATTATTTCACTGTCATTCACTTGAATGTTTTTGATTTTCTCTTAAACTTGAATTGACGAATTGAGAGGATGATCGCATGATTCCCTTAGGTAATTTAATTTAACCTCCTGGAAAATTCTCTAGATAGATTATATGTTGGTGTTCCTGGAAGCGAAGCGATTGGTCGTAAGGTAATGTTTGGTTTGCGTAGATTTGGTCTACCATATCTTTTTTCTTTCACGTTCCCCAGTGGAACATAAGGCAGCTTCAAGCTAGTGGTTTGAAGTTTCTGTAGCAGCGTTTATTTTACAGGATGGGGTTGTTAACCTCATGCCCAACCTTTCCTCTTTACCAGCATTATTTCTGGCTTAGCGAGGTAAAGGAGGACGTCGGCCGGGGATCGAACCTCGGACCATGTGCATGATCGGTGAGCGTCCTAACCGCTGTGCCACCGATGCACCTTGGTCTACCATAGTAGGTAGTATTTACTGCTCATGACTGATTGACTGATTGATTGATGGATTGCGTGTTTTACGTCTGTGCATCTGTGCTGTGTTTCTATCTGTTTGCATTAATGGTGTATAATTATTATTATAAAGGTGTGCAAGTGAGTTGGCCAACCAATCAATCAGCCAGTGATTGAGTGAGTGAGTGAGTGAGATGGAGAGAGATAGAGCGGTAGGGTGTGTAAGTGTGTGTTGGTATGTATGAGTGTGTGCTTACATGCACAAATAGATTACGGAATATATTCAGTCTGATATACATATAATAGTTTGTCTCTTTTTCAGCGAAACATTTCAGCACTTGAATCATTCTACTTCCATTCTTCTATCCAACACATGGAGGAGTTCATCGAGAATCTTATTGAGTTTTATGAATTCCCCAATCAGTAAGTAAGATTATATAACTTAAGTTTAATAATTTTATTGATTGTTTTTTCTGTTATTTGAAAAATTCGTGAATGAATAATCTACATCTAAGCATTATTGAAAAAAAGGGCACAAAACAGACAGTTCAGTGATGAGACATTTTTCCCTGGATTCATTTCCCTCTTTAGCTGTACAATCGCGGTTGGATACAATATGTTTACAGAAGACGTTTGGGTTCTAAGTGGAACATAGGACTACTACAGCACATTTCCCCCATCCTACTCTGTTCTCTTAAGTCCCCTTTATCTAGATCCAAGTGTGATGATTGTATCTCATCTCCTCCAACTCACACGATCACCTCCATGTCACTCTCTCTCTCTCTCACACACACACACGCACACGCACTCACTCACTCACTCACCAAACTCGTTGTTTCCCACTCAAGTTTCATCGAGTGATAGCCTAGGAAGCGATATTACCCGACAGTCTGCTCATTAACTGTCTAATCCATCACCATTCCTGTTCAGCATATTTGTTCACTAAAAGATCCTTGATTGGTTTGTTCAGAGAATTTCTCGTTGCTAATTCTTTCCGATTATCAGCCATCTGATCTTTATTATGGAGCCAGCGAAGAGGCAACTAACTGTCTGTGAAAGTAAACAGCTGACTGTCATGTTTCTGGTCCACACAGAAAGACTAACTGATTTAACACTGGCTGTCAAAATCAGAATTATTTATGCCGACAGTGACGAAGTTCTGTGATGGATGCCTATCCGATCTCTCTCTCTCTCTCTGTCTTTAATATCCTCATTTGTGCCACCTCCTGTTTTAAAATGATGGCGCCCAGATAAGCGTAACCCTAGTGATCTCTTTCGAATTTCTCTCATCGTCAGGGATTTATGTGACTGTCGTTACTGGTTGGTTATCGTTATCACCTTCGAGGATACTCGCTGAACGATCAATATATCTCGCTCCACAGGAACAGACTAACTGATGATATATATATATATAGGCTCATAGAAGTAGTTAGATGTGAGGTCTGGTCTTTTCAGGCTTCTTCTGTTAGGTGTATTGCAGGTGAAGTGTCCCTTCAAATCAATGTTCATGTGAACTTTCATTTGCTCTTCATACAAATAATGTTTCGTTTCCCTGAACTTTAGTTTGATTTTCCTGTCAATGAATATAGATGGGTAGTATGCATTTTGAAACAAACAAAACACATTGAGTGAAGAAGTGAACATTCCCTCGTCAATGTGTTCTTCATCATCAGCTGGTCCTACACTAATACATGGTTTGGTCTACATCAAAATGTCTTACTAATCAAGTGGTCATTTTAGTTAATCGGTTAATCAGGTTAAAAGCCATCAAAACAGTTAATTAACTAATTCATGTTAATCATAAGATATCTAAGTTTTGAGGTGGGGAGGGGTGAAAATTAAATTACGGAATTCCAGATGAGTTAATTCGGGGAGTTAGGCACAAGTTGTTACATAATCAAGAAATTAGAAAAATAGCAATGATGACTCAAAATAATTAAGTTAAATACAGACTGTGAAAATATGTATAACAAGGTCAAAATATAGTTACAAAGGGGGGGAAATAGTCGTTCTTACGAAACTTAAAACAAATTATGTAGTCGACCATGGCAAAGAAAGGCGTTCGACAAATTTCTTTTGAGCACACACATACACGGAGATTTGACTTTTTCAGATGAATTCCGATTACCTCTTCTTTTATGCAAATGTCGCCCTCGTATACTAAGTATGAGGTTGGTTGAAATACGAAAACAGAAAACTTTAAAAGCTCGTGCATTTGGCTACGTGTACGCTTATTGAGACCTCTGCCAAATCAAAATGAAAGGCGTTCATTCAAATTCTATGATAGACTTCCTGGAATTCATGGCCAATGTAACTAACTCTGCAGGAGCAGTTAAACTGGTGAATACACATGGAAGAGGCGAAACAGAACAGTTCGTCTTTATTTCTTCAACTAAGTACTGGTCGGTTAATGAATATAGAATGTGACATAACATGGTGTGGAGTCCGATAAGATAGAATTCAATATTGTGAACTATATAATCTTGGATTCAGAATGACAAGTGGGACATGCGGAAACTATTCTGAGTGGGAATATTAATAATAGTCATAATATTCGTAGTAATAAGGAAAAAAGGTACACAGAATAGCTAAATAAACAAAATAAGTAAATAAATGTCTGTCGCTCTCCGGCCAAGGCAGAAGTAGGAATTGTACACACTTCTTTTGTACACAAAGGTGAAGCTGGCTTAATTTCATGAATGGCCAAGGGCTCCGCTGCCTTTAGAAGTGCATAACGAAGAAAACGCGAAAAGTTTGCATAGATTCAGTTGAAAGACCTAAAATCATGGTCACGCTCGGCGGAGTGAGAGAAGGCGGTCAGGTGGTCTCAAATAGAACTTCGAACACTCTTCGTCTTGCCCTTGTAAAACCATGCTGGAATAGGTTTTCGTATCCGTGTGGAAAGCGTCCTCTGGCTACGGCCAATGTACCTCGCTCCAGAAAAGCAGGCCAACTGATAGATGAACAAGAGGGTAGTAAGATCGGTGAGCCTATCACTCACAGAGATGGAGAACAACCTTTGACTGTTGAACGTAATTTGTGATTTTGCTGCAAAGAACGCCTTACCAACTGCTTTAGTGAGATGGCTTTTAAGCATATCTGAAGCTTGGTCACCTTTGAATTCCAAATGCATGAATAGGGTTTTCTTATCTATATGTATATATATACTAGTGTAAAGCCAATGATGATGATGAGGAGGAGGAGGAATGAATTGAAAAGGAATGCATCATTTCGTTCAGTCCTTTAAATTCCTGTTAGGATGGAGGTTTATTTCATGAGATCGAATTCTTCTTCTACGGCGTCAAGTGATCCGAATGATGAGATAGGTGAGTGTGTGTGTGTGGTAAGGGAATAAATTAAACTTGATTTCAGTTTATAAGTTTCTGCTTTGATATATTCAAAAGGAATAGTTACGGCGATAACAGAAATAATAATAACAATTGATTAAAGATTTTAGAGGTTGAAGATGCACTTGAAGATCTGGTTGACGATCTCCAGGACTATCATAATACACGAAACAATAACAACTCAATGCAAAATCCTAACAGATCACATACAGTGAGTTACATGCACAACAAAAATATTCTTTCTTCTTTCTCATGCGTTTTTTTCCATTTTTTGAAAATGCGTGTCTTTACATGACACTATATACTACTGACTAGTTGGGATGAGTAGGTGCATACCCCACTTATATCAACCAGTAGTGAGTCCTTGCTAGCCAGCCAGCCAGCCAGCCAGACAACCAGCCAGCTAACCAGATCGAGGTGATCCCCCAATCGATCACTGACAAATAGTTTTAAGCCAGAGAATAGTTGAAAATTCATGAATTTGTGGGTTCAACTGCAAGTCAGAGTGGCGAGATTTGCTGGCTGGCTGGCTGGCTGGACCAGTTTCGTTTGCACACGAATGTCCAGTTTATTTAAGCGAACTGTGGTGGTCTCTGCAGTTGGTAGTTTTCGGTATCTTGAGGCCTTCAACTTGCTATCAAAATGTCAGAGCCCCTCACATTATGTATCGTTTGTCGGCCAACGCAACATGAAACCAAATTTGTGGTATAAAAGGACGTCATTTCATTTCGCACGGCTTCTTTTGTCTACCTGAATTGACGACGGCTATAACATAGTGAAAATAATCCTACTTCAACGTTAGAATAATTTTTATGTCAATTCGGCTCAGTGAACAGAAATCCGTAATATGGATAACTATCCAACCTCCGCTAGTTTACACCTTCTCTAGATTTTACCTCGTCCTGAGCTAGGGAAGAGAAGGAAGTTTGGGTGTAAGGTCGGCGAACCTACCCGGGAAATCGATCCAATCGCTCCTGAAACTTCGAAGTACGCGGTTATATAATCAATGCAGTCAAAATCAAAATACACTCACTAAGGAATTTAGAGACAGGCAGGCAGGCAGACAGACAAACCACACTCTCATTATGTATGCATAAGGCACCTTGGAAACAATACATTGCATTGCAATCTCTTCAGGTAATCCTTGTAAATCTAGTGTTGTCTTCTGAACATGAAATATTTTAAAGGATTTAGAGATCTCGAGAAAATGTCGTGTGTAACGTTCGAAACTCACGTGTTATACTGAGAAGAGATAAAACCAAGCTTCGCGTTCTACCGCATAGCTGAGCAGATTTTTTCTGAATCATGCAGAATCACGAAATTCGCCGAAATTCATTTACTTCCGATTAATTTTTCAGGAGTATTCAACAGTCATGACTACATCAAAACTCAGGATTACATCAACAATTCCGATAGACAGTCACACCGATCCATTATTTTCTCAACTTCAGAACAATCGCTGTAGAACAAAGGTGGTTAAGTAAAATTTAACCCGAAGAACTACCTGAGAATCATTGATATAGGTATAAATCTTGAGCACTTTTGTTCTAGAGTAAAACCCCATTATGGATAAGACCTTATCTGGATAAATAATATTAACTGATGAACGTTCGGTCACAAATTATTGCTGATCGTAATCATATCAAGTTACTCACACAACTTTTTTCTTTCATTTATATACATGTGTGGAATTGACTAGATATTTAAATATAAATCAATATACGATAATGCACTTTCAGAGGTGATTAGTAAACTCCTAGGGAAGTCTAAAAGCTCACTTCGAATTGAAGTGTATGCGCTGAAGATTTCGCCTAGTAGGGTGATGAAAGCTTGTCAAATTAACTATCCAGCTCAGACAACACGACCACATCGAAATCATGCACCTGAGCTGCAAATATCCTCTCTCATATTTGGATAGATAAATAGTATAGTACAGTTGTGTGTAATTGCACGTATTGCTATGGCTCAGCTGTTTTCTAGTTTTTTTTCATCTTGATTGGAGAAGCTAATCCGGATTTTTCTAAGATTTTGTGCTCCGCTTGTCTGACTGCCCCCGTTCTACTGCTCTGACCAATGTGTTTTTTACCTGACAATCATTCCAGCAGGGTATTAGATAAACTAAATTGTTTTGTTTAATTGGATCCACAAGAATCTGGAGAGTGATTCAGCTATACCACTACATCACTACGTGGAATTACACACAACCATTCAATACGTGATGGGATAAAGTCACAATTGTAAAACCTATTATAAAAGGGTGGAGGGAGTGATTGATAACGGAGGCCTTGTGTTATCGAATCACCTAGAATTACATGCAGTAGAAATGATTCAACACCTGTGCACCCTACCGGACATCTGGAAATTTCTACTTCCCTTACGATGAATAGGAAACAGTAAAGAAAACTACAAGACTGAAGTTTCGAAGTCGTTTGACTATAATTGATATGATTATGAACAGCAATAATGAATTGTGTTCAAAACTGTGTCGTCCAGTAAATAATGATACCGTTTCACACTGCCATCAGTGTGCTCTACCACAGTGCTCACGTTGTGTACACACATATTAGTTTCGTCTATAAGCCCTTCAACGCTCTATCTGTTTACCCATTACCAGAAACTAGTTGCTTAGATTCATATCATGGAAAAATCCTGTTTGTTATAGGCTGCTCAGTAATGCTGAATGGTCATCGGAATTTTTCAGAAATTATGAAGAAAATCAGGTACCTGACCAACTGAATTTCGCTACACCAATCTCATTGATAATATGATCGTCTCTCGCAAGCTGATGCTTTTGAATATGACCACCACCCATGTCATAGTGGTGTTCTCGATCTACTCACCTATTTTTCCCCTACCTAACTTATAAGTACTCGTCAAAAGGAATGCACTTCTTCAACCGAAATGATATTTCTGTGCGTTATATGATTTCAAGTAGTATCAACCTGTATTACAGTTGTAGCCGTAGCATTTTGAAGACACTCTTCAGAGACTGATTGACCTAACATTCACAAAATGTGACTCTTGTCGCTTATTGGAAAAGTTGGTCGATAGCTTTGATGCTTAAGAAAGTAGCACAATATATCACACACTGAAAACCAAGAGTACTGAGTTGAGGGAACCTGGATAAGACGGTGTGGAGGTTTTCAGATTCTACAAGAAAGTTACTACCGACTGAATCAACATGTAGAAAGCAATGTGTTGTCTGCACGTCTGGATATTACAAAATGAGGGCTATTCTGTGCGGTTCTTAGAGTGATTTGGGTTGAATGATGATAGTTCTGTGGTATTCTTAGCACGCGTTTAAGAATTGAAATCTATGTGTCTGAAGCTGCAAATCCAGTAATGTAAGAGTGGAACTTGAGCACCGTGGTAGAATGTAATTCCATATTGGATCAGTTTATTTTAAATATCATACAGGGATGCAGTATTAACAGCTGGATGATGTTTTGAGCATAACTTATTTCTCACAATCATATCAATTTACTCATATGGCCTCACAGTTTGTCCTGCATATGTATTTCTCTCTCTTCCCCTTGTTATTTGTTGCCACTTCCCATATCTCCGGTATAGGTGTTACGTCATTTCGACTATACATGTGTGGTGCTGAATGGATAATCAAAGGGTTCAGTGATTAACCTCTCTTCACATTTTTAATATTTTTGTCAGGTCCCACCCTATTTTGTGATTACATACAAGTGAATGTAGTGCAATGGATGAGCTTTTTTCTGGATTATTCAACTTAGCAGGGTCAGTTATTCTAGGTCTAGCAGAATTTTTAAGTTCCAATAATCTAGTTGACCTCCATCTACTAATTTGACCTATGCAATCGACCTCACAGTCATTGCGTGGAATTCGGTGAAATGCAATTGGTTAGCAACTGTACGCAGCGTCATCGAACAAAGCATAGAACGCTAGTCAAAACTGTACCTCAATTTTATCGACTACGAAAAGGCCTTCAGCGAATAGCGTTGACCAAGAAGTAATTTGGAAACCACTTCAACATTACAGCGTACAGCTTCCCAAGTCTTTACCAACCTCATCCAATAGCTAGCTATATGACCTTATCACGTTTCAGGTGATTCCAAATGGAAAATTCAATGAAGCCTGGCTTTGAAGCGAATACAGGAGTAATACAAGGCTGGCTGCCTATTATCACCCACGATGGTATTTCTAATTGTAGTGGACTGGTTAATGCATCAGACTGTGCGTAGGAGTGATAGGACAAGAATTCGCTGCACCGACAGATGAGAAGACTCTAGATGACCTGGATTTCGCGCAGGGATGATTTATGATTAATGTTCTAGATAGGCGAAAACCAGCAAACTGGCTGAACAGGCAGCGAAGACAGGAATCTAGGTGAACATAGAGAAGATGGAGGCGATAAAGATATCCACGCATCGACAGCAAACATCCAGCACGAATCACAATCAACGGGAGTGATTTGACACAGGTTACTTCACTTCCTTAACTCATCTAGCTGGGAAGCACAGTTTTAAACACAGCCAAACGGGACGGATGAAGATGGCAACGGAAGTCAGAATTGGGAAAGCAAGTTGATACCAGTTTGAAAATCTTCTGAACTCATTCAGCGTAGAGAACAAGATTGAGATTTCCGATAAAGACGTGAAGTGGGTCAGTTCTTCGATTTGAGTCAGAAACTTGGCAGGTTTGTCACGAAAGCACTTCCAACAGATCACTTCAGTCTTTTAGCAACAGCTGCCCAATTCGCTGGTTCCATACTGAAGGTTGTATGGTCGGGCAGTTACAAAGAATTAGCGCAACGAGAAACTCTGGCTGGCAATAAACTAACTATGAACCGATCGTTTAACGCACCAGTTGAGTGGGACTCAAATAAGGAACGACAAGTGGGTCGTCGGTGCGAGGGTGACACAGAGGCCAAGATGAGAGATTATCAGTAATCTTGAGCCAGCCAAAGAAGACAACAGTGAATTGAACGAAGTGACGGTGTGTTATTGAAGCCCTATGTCCCACACGGAACCCAAGGGAATAATAATAACTACACATATATAAACGGATCTATTAGGTCTTTAGGCTGACAGAGTAAATCTCTGAGAAAGTTGGTTGGTTGGTTTGTTCGTTGACATTTAATTGCCACCCTAATTACAACCCCATTAAGAATCCTATATAAAGCATCTCATCTTCCTTCCTTTTATATGTGTCTTTGAATTCCATGTCACTTTATTATTTTTATCCCATCCTGCATACAAAATCAACGCTTCTAGCACTGGAACTTCAAGGCGTATATTCTACTTGGACCTTAGGAAATGAGGGAAAATGAAGTCGTATTTCGAGTAACCTGGTATCAAACTCATTTTAAAATTAGATACACAGCCTGATTTCGGTTCGTGTACAGGAATTATCGATCTTTTCAGAATCATTGGTATGCATAATACTGGTAAATTGCATTAAGTGCCGAAAACCATTTGAACAAGGTCATACAGATGAATTAACTCCTTCTGATCATAAACTTCTTTACCCGTTTAGGCTATGCAGACTATGATTCCTGTAGATGCCAGTGTACAAGCGGAATTTTTAGCTTCAGAAGTAACTCAAACAGAACCCGAAACTGCATTGGAAATATCGAATCCACCGAATTCAGTAGATGCCTCAGTGGAGTCTGTTGATCAATCCGGAAATCGGGAACAACACACTGACTCTTCTGGTAAGTCAGGAGTTTGTTTCGTCATTATTCTGGTACATTCATGATGATAATGTATCATTTTGTCAAACAGAATCTATCGAGAAAGGCTGTGTTTTTAGTTTACAGTAACACAATAGTGTAAAACTCGTCTTATCTTATGTACAAGACTCTGTTTCACTGATGTGACCTCCCCTGTTGTAATGTGGATGGTGTGTATTCGAACCTGTGTCACCCAATGCTGCAATATGAGACGTTCGAATGTCAGAGAGGACATGAGTCCCTTCGAGGTCTCAGATAAGCCTTGTTGATCAGTGCCAACTAGCACGAAACCTAGGTCGAAGGAATCCTGTGGCCGACTGCTGCCAACCATCTAATAACTACACTTCTCAGTGAACCCTGATGGAGAGCCACTCTGCATAATGACCACATTGCAAACATGACTGATAGAATTCAGTCTGCACCAAAGATACGACTAGACACACACACACATTACACTAGTTACTGACCAGTGTCCAATCAAATGGTAAATATTTGTAGAACAGTTAGGAAAGAGACACCGGACGTGCAGTGGGAATTAGTCAGGCTTTCAAAATAACCAATACTACAAGAAAACCAGGGTTACTTCAGTTCTCAGAAGCCGATATTATCAATATTACCCGACAGACTGAGAAACGGCGAATTGGTTGTCAGTGGGAGAGTGGAGTGACATGGAGGAGGTCATACGAAGAAGAGATGAAAGCATGTGGGCAGACATGGAGCCGGGTGAAAACGTTGGCAGAGGGCCGAACGCAACGGAGACGTGCGACTGATGCCCTATGTTCTCCTAGGAACTAAAGGAAACAATAATAACAATAATTATTCACCACCACCCTCCCTAGCTCTCCAACACAATATGTATGTATTCACTCTCTTATTCTGTCTTGTAATTTGTCTCCAGTCCATCCTTGTTTCAAAGACACTGTTTAAAACATTTGTTCCCTTTAGACATAAGCTTTTACGTACATGTTCAGAAAATCGTAGATATGCCCTTCTTTCTGTCCTTCCAATTTAACTGCCCCCGCTGATACATGTAAATTTATGTATGCAGATGGAGATATCAAGAGAAGGGTATTTGTAGACTTTTGACTACACCGAACAGCGTATTGTCCGATAGACAGGAACCAACATAGCTGACTGCAGGGTAGGCTGTGGCTGGTGATGTACTCGGTCTTCTGCTCATGATAATCAAGATGAATGTAGATGGGCTTTCTTTCCACTGTGATTTGCTTGACATTTGAGACTTCAAATCTTCCCTACTTGTTAATGGATCTTTGAGGATAACCATTGTATTTCAGCACATTTTCGAGAATCATAAATTCTTCCTCTAATTTCTCTATAGAGCATATTCTCCTCGCTCTATAGTACAGAGTCTTGACAAGTTCACGTTTGAAGCTATTTGAACGAAAACTATTAGAATGTAGGTATTGTCCTTTGCTAAATTCACTTCTGAAGACTATCAAAAATCACGATATATGAGTATACTCCCGTGCAAGGAGCACCTTATGCTCATGACCAGTAAAGGTTAATTCAAAATTAGAAGGACGTCGAAAACATCCATCAAGACATTAGAGAGAATAGAACAAGAAGTCCAACAAACTGACATTTTCTCAGAAATTGCATACTCAAAAACAACTGCACAATCACCATTTACATACACAGATTCAATGTCTGTTAACTCCCAGCTAGACTCTACTAAGTCGAACAACTTTCTATCGGGAGTCAGCTAATGGTTCTCATCTAATGGTCTGTCTTAAACTAAATCCTTCAACATGTTAGACTGTTAATTTCAGTTTCCGATGTAAAAGAAAGTTAAATGAAGTTATGACTGTTGCAAAAGTGATGATGGTGATATAGAAATCAAGTGTGAAGTTAAGTATCTTTGATTAATTCTTTCTTCTCACCTATTCCGGTCTCCCCATAACTTAGCGATTTCTAAAAGCATATTTCGTCCGACTTTCTACATTAAGAAGTCAAGGCACTCAGACATAATTCAACCCCTCCTCCTCCTGTTACACATTATGTCAACTCGTGCATCCTGCCTATTATTCTTTACTGTTCACCCTGACTTAATCCCTCCTGGATTGCTTAAAAAATATGACTATGTCATACTTCGTAGAACTCTGAAGACTGTCAATCAGTAGGGCGAGTGGTATCCAATTGGGCCATATCGTTGACACCGTCATTGATACGCACTTGATTTCATGCAACAAATTTACTAAAGGAATTTTGTCAAACTGTCAGCATCCCCCACTGTACCCGAAGCTCCCACCTTGCATCTATCTCCTCAGGTAAAACAAGAAGTCTTTTCAAAAGACTTATTGCATGAAGGTTTAAGTATGCAAACTACACGACACTATATTTTGCGGAACTTACTTTGTGTGGTGGAAGTAATGTCAGACATGAACTAACTAACTAACTAACTTACCTTCTTTGCACTACTAAATAAACCATTTTCTCCATCCACCCCTGCAACATCGAGCTTTATTGTTATTGTTCCGCTTATATTTATAATCCTCGACATTTTTTGTCTTAATTTGTTTATTTTCTCAAAAGTGTAAACATCATTTAGACTGTGTTATGACTGTTAATTTTGTATTTCCCCTCACTATGCTATATCAACAGAACATTAGATTCAATAATCTATAACATGCTAAAATTCTCAAACTGAATCGACAATACAGTTTGAAAAAATGTTATTACCATTATTATATTAATTATTCGCTTTTGTACTTTGAATACTTTTGACTTTATACCGTAAATGTGAACAAATTCCTCTGGTTAATTTTTTTGTCTTAATTTTATTTATATTTTGAGTAAATCAAATGCAAGATATTGTGACAAATGCTGAGAATTCCATTCTGTATTATGAGTGCTGTCTGTTTTGGAAAAAAGTAGATCATTATTGTTATTATATCGATGGATACAGTTGTTATTCAATTCCACACAATAAAAAAGGAGTTTAAAGGTGATAATAATTTTTTACAAGGGGCTTAGAAACAAAATTACACTGGATTAAGTGAATAGTTAATATAAGAATAAAACTTGTGCACTGTGGTGGTAGAGTGCAATTCCATTATGGGTAGATTTTCGTTTTGATAAAGTCTCACAGTGTGTTTGTTATACAGTAATGTTTACTGATGCGACCACGTTTCGAGCACAATTTATTCCTGCTCATAATCATATCAAGGTACTCCTCACACGACTTCCTAACTTCATTTATATAGTTCCATTATTTTTCACTTCATTTTCGCTTGATTTGATTGGTAGTAGTGTTTTCCATATTTCTGGTATTTGCACTGAATCATTTCTGTTGCATGTGTTGTGTTGTGTTTGGTGTAGACACGATGAACAAGGATTCAGTGATCAACTTCTATCTCTCTCGACCTACCTAGATTACTTTTTAGAATTCCAACCCTTTCCCACCAAGCTATTGTGTGGCTGTGTGTCAATGCATGCAGTGGAATGCAGTGGTGAGCTTTTTTCTAAATTACTTATCTTCTCGGGATCAACCATTCTTACCTTAGCTAAATTCTTATGTTCTGACAATCTAACTACTCCTGACCTACTAGTTTGACCTACGTAGTTGACTTAACTCACTGTCATTGCATGGTATTTTGTAAATTATATTATTTTGTCTAATTGGGTCAACCTACAGGGTCCTTCAACCTACAGAGCTTGTCCTATCTGAGTGAGTTTGTAGGTTTAAATGCCACCAAGCTAATTCCTGCTTTATTTAGAATCCTACGTGGAGAGGGTCTCAGATGTCCCTTCTTTATATGGTATAACTGTAGATGACTTATATTCTCTCTTATTTATGTTATTGTTGCTGGTTTCACAATTATTTTTATTTTGGCCTATTCTGATCTTCCTAATGAATTTCATACGGTAGTTAGTTATGTAACACCAACGCCTCTTCTATCAGTTTTATTTCATCATTTAGGTCTTTTTTGTGCTACTTATTGCGACTGCTCGGTTTGTTGAACACTTAACTAAGCCTGCTTTCACAGGCAGTTAATGGATGAGATGAATTAAAGTTTAAGTATCTATTAGAATGAGTTGGTTTTCTGTACCCACTAGTGTGTAGTTTGCCTTCTTCTATTCGTTTTATTTTACAATCTAACATCACGGCTAATTCTCCTTGTTTATTTTCCGTTTCAAATGTGAATTTTATTCCCTCCACTAGTGAGTTTATGTGTGTGTCAAGAAGCTAGAGATTTGTTCTGTTTTTAACACTGTGTATGAAAGTGTCATCCACATATCTCAACCCCCATATTTTCGAAGCAGTATTAAACGTATTAAGAGCCATGTTTTCCCAGCTATCCATAAATATATCTGCTATGATAGGGGATATTGGTGATCCATCTCATGACTACACCTTAAGTTTGTCTATATATTTTGCCTTGGAATTTAAAGATAGTAGATGTGAGTGAGGCATAACTGAATTCCCAACATAATTTCTTCAATGAGTAGCTTCGTCCTATAAGTAAAAAATAGTTAGTTTTAACTAACAGAGTTGTGTGAAACAAAAGTGTGTGAGCATGGAAACAAATTGAATTAATAGTTTTTTTTATAACAGAAACCAATCTGGAAATCTTTATCACTCAGCCAGAATCAACAACAAAATTCAGTCCGATTTTCAATACAAACGTCAAGTCAGTCAGTTCTACTATACCGATCAGAAACTTGGTAGGCGGGTCACAAAGAATATTTCCAACAGCCTGTTGCAGACCAGACCTTCATCAACAACTGTCTGTCTTCGCTGGATCTGTACTGTAGATCAGATGGCCGGGCAGGAAACAATCGCCAACAAGAAACTATGGGAACAAACCAATCACAAACCAAAAAATATGCAGGAGAAGCTGGAGATGGATTTGACACTAGTGGCTGAGGAGGCCACAGCTGGGTGACATCGCGCGCGCGTCAGGCCATTGGTCGAGTGGAACTAGGCCGAAAGGGAAGCGGCGAGTGGGTCGTCAGTGCAA